GAGCCCTGCTTGTTGTGGGAGATGAGAGTCTCGCGCCAAATCATTCTTTCCTTTCGCGCATCCATGCTCGCATTGTGCACTCATACCTTTGTGCCTATCTTGTGGTAAACCTAGCTAATTTTTGTCTCTTGCGGTTGTTGCTTGTTCTCTACTGTCACCACCTTCACCCCATATTAACATCCGGGGTTCACTTTCGTGTTGTTGCTTACCGTTTTTTCAGTGTTCACTCGCGTTCTTGTGCTTACCATTTATGTGGCTACGCCGTTAAGTGGTCACTGTTCCTTTGAACATTCCCTAGATTTACAGCCTTCCAGACAGCAGTTACTGCCTCCTGCACGCTTTCGACAATCCTATTATCGATCAATACGGCTACTGTGACAGCTGTGGAGTCCTACCTTCCGAAAGTCGTCAAGGCTATTGAGGACCTGCGGGCAGCGAGGAAGCAGGTAAATCCAGACTTACTTGCTCCTTTAGTGTCTGACACCCCAATTGTCGAGCAGCTTCACCAGCTCCGGCAACGTCAGACAGCCACACATTTCCACATATTGGGCCTCAAAGCCTTGCTTTCGCCTTTAGGGGAACGTCAAGCTTTATTGCTGTATCACATCACTACATCCAACTCGCCGACGGACCAGGAAGCGTATAGCAAGTTCGAGGAGAAGTACGCTGTGGTCAACATCAGGCCGACACCGAAGCGCTCCTTCGCACTCTGCAAGACACTCAGGAAGCGGATAGCAAACAGTTTCATACCCTCCGGATTCAACAATTCGCCAATTCCATCAGCGAGGATAACCGTATGGATACGACAGGGATTGTGACGAGCCTCAGCGAGAAAATCACCCTGACATGGACAACGCCACACGTCTACAGGCAGTAGACCCACAGTTGGACGCTGTGCAGCAATTGGAACATCTTCAGCTTATGCCCACACAGACTATGGGGCAGTTTAGGACGGTCTCCCCAACGTCGCACTACGTACCGATCCATTTGGAGAAGTTGACGTTGCCGTGCTCCGATGGAGATGTCACCAAGTTCCAGCAGTTTTGGTGCGCTTTCGAGCTAGCTGTCCACAACGATCTCAACATTGACCTGAATATGAAATACCCCTATCTGATGAGCTTGATTAAGGGAGAAGCTCAAATAATTTTGCAGAATCTTGAACCAGGACGGAACAACTACTATCAGTTGGTGCAAGCATTGAGGAAGCGATACGATTGCCCGAGGAGGACCAAAGCGCTACTCCATCAGCAGCCACATGCTCAAAACAGCAGCAAACGTATGCACAGGAGAAGAAGAACAGAAAGAATCACAAAGAAGGGCGCTGGAAATTGCTCAAATGCTCGACCATCCATTTCCATCGATAGCAACCAGCACCAC